TAGACCAGCAAATAAACTGAGTTTATAAACATGTTGAAACATTCAGGAGGAGATGAGGGTGTTGGCATTCTGGTCCACCCCTTGGGGACTTGACCTGCATCCTGATGTAAATCCTCTTTTAAAGAAAAACCCCTCCCTTCTTCTTCCTCTTCTCCTTCCTCTCTTCCCCATCATGCGGTGTGCACATCTCTGCTTTCCCTTTTTCCTTCCCTTTCTCGTTCTTCCTCTACCCCTCTTTTCTTCTCTTCCCCCTCTCTCTGTTTCTCTATAATAAACTCTTTTCATGTGGATGATATGCCTGGGGTGTGAGTGACTTCCCAACGTGGCACCCTGCAGTACATTGATGGGTCAGCATGGAGTGTCTGTCTCACACGCTTCTAGGCACCTAGGCTCTACCTGCCAAGGCCCGCACACCATATCATTATGGAAAGGAAACAGCAAGTAATCAGTCCTGTTGAGGTTACTAAAAAACAAGTGTCATAAATCCCTAGGGGACAAACTGAAAAAAGGCCAAATGCTGTGCTTGAGGCTCTTTGAAAGGCTTTAAAGCCTAAGCAAGGGTTAAAAGGAGTGAAATCAGGAGGGGTACAAGTAGTCCCCATTGCACCCCATGCAGGGGAAGACAATGTCATTGGATGGAAACCACAAAGCTGCTCCTCTGACTGGGTGGCCAAGGTTGCCTGTAATTGAAGGCTTTATATGGCACCTGAGGCCACTTGCCAAATTATGGATTCGTGGGTCTGCTATTAAAGCACAAGTTACTTGGATTTGGGTGGGTATTGAACCTAAAATTACATTAATTCTTGACAGTCCTCAAAGCAGTAGGGGGAATAGGTGTGTGGGTCTGGGGAAAAACAGTCCAAGTCAAACAAACTAAACTTGTCCTAGGAGTGGACAATAATTCCCCTAGAGAAAACGGTACAAAAAGCTGTTCTGGGGTAGAACTTGTCCAGCTAACCAGGGGCTCTCAGTGACTCCAGGCATGCCCAAGGGACAGATGTTGGAAATGGCAGAGCTGTAGGTCGGATCAGTAGTCTGCCAGATTCTGGGTGTGGTACAGCCAGGCATATGGGGTTCTGTTCCCACTTATCCCTGGGCTACTTTGAAATGTCCCCACCCAGGCTTTGGGGATGGGGATATGCTTGGAGGTCTCATTGAGTTTCCTCACTATAAGGAAGCCAAATGATTGTATTAAGTAGTGGGATATTTTCAGGATGTACTAGATCTTGCTAATGCATTATTTTAGCATCTGCTTAGCTACAGGATATCAGGAATTATTGCATTTCCTTGGAATGGTCACCAGTGGGCATTCATAGTCTCCAAGATTACCTTGACAGTCACATTCTTTGCCATGGGGTGGCATTTTGGGTCCTTGCTGTGTCTTGATGACAACCCTCTGTAAAATAGCGTGATGTTAATCTCTCAGTGTTTTTCAGATTAAATAAAATAAAAAACTGTTCAAGTACCCATAAATGAAGAAAGGTAGAAGATGAGTCCACACGATGTATAAGGGCCAGATACAGCTACAAAACTCTTGAGTGTATTCTTTGTCCTAGAAAGGACCCAGAATATTTTGGGTGCTGACACTGATTGGTGGCATTGAGCCTGACTTCTTTGTCAAGTATGGCCTGGAAGCCTAGTCCTAGGATTGGAGGATGAGAAACATTTTGTTAAAAAGCTAGAAAAACTGAAGGGTGACTGCAATGTTTGCTTTTGGGAAGATTTTATTTATTTGTTTGTTTGTTTGTTTGTTTGTTTGTATTTATTTCAGGTCAAGCTCCAAGCAGACCTCTTTTTTTTTTTTTTGTCATTTTTAGTCTTTTAGAGGAAATTAGTAATTTTACAACACAAATCATATATCACTATAGCATGGGTATTAGTAAATTCTTTTTCTTAAGCAAATTAAGAACATGTAATTTCTGAAATATATGCTGTAACATTAAATTATTTTCAGAATATGTGTGGCTCTGTGATTGAAATTTACCTAAGTTCCCCCATTTATTTATTTATTTATTTTTATTTTTTTTAATTTATTTTAATCTATTTTGCAATACAATTCAGTTCTACATATCAGCCACGGATTCCCTTGTTCTCCCCCCTCCCGTCCCCCTCACCTTCCCCCCAACCCCCCCCATTCCCATCTCCTCCAGGGCAAAGCCTTCCCCACAGACTGAGGTCAACCTGGTAGACTCAGTCCAGGTAGGTCTAGTCCCCTCCTCCCAGGCCGAGCCAAACAATCCTGCATAGGCCCCAGGTTTCAAACAGCTAACTCATGCAATGAGCACAGGACCCGGTCCCACTGCCTGGATGCCTCCCAAACAGATCAAGCCAATCAACTGTCTCACCCATTCGGAGGGCCTGATCCAGTGGGGACCCCTCAGCCATTGTTCATGTGTTTCCATTCATTTGGCTATTTGTCCCTGTGCTTTATCCAACCTTGGTCTCAACAATTCTTGCTCATATAAACCCTCCTCATTCTCGCTAATTGGACTCCCAGAGATCCACCCAGGGCCTAGTCATGGATCTCTGCATCCAGATCCCTCAGTAGTTGGATGAGGTTTCTAGCACAACAATTAGGGTGTTTGGCCATCCCATCACCAGAGTAGGTCAGTTCGGGCTGTCTCTCGACCATTGCCAGCAGTCTGTTGTGGGGGTATCTTTGTGGATTTCTGTGGGCCTCTCTAGCACTTTGCTTCTTCCTATTCTCATGTGGTCTTCATTTACCATGGTCTCCTATTCCTTGTTCTCCCTCTCTGTTGTTGATCCAGCTGGGATCTCCCGCTCCCCCAAGCTCTCTTTCCCTCAACCCTCGCCTTTCATTACCCCCACTCATGTCCAGGCTGTTCATGTAGATCTCATTCCATTTCTCTGTCATTGGGCGATCCCTGTGTCTTTCTTGGGGTCCTGTTTTCCAGGTAGCCTCCCTGGTGGTGTGAGTAGCAGACAAGTCATCCTTGTTTCATGTCTAGTATCCTCCAAGCAGACCTCTTAACCAGGTGTACAATGCAAGAAATCGCGAACAGAGCAGATCTAGGGGCAAAGTGAAATGCTGGGAACCAAGTTAGAAAGTCCAATCTCAATGTGAATTTGGCCTGAGAGCTTGGCCTACACAGTGTTTAATTAAGCTAAATTAGTTATAATTTAAGCAGTAATGTATCCCCATTCGAAGGGAGAGCCACAGCTCCTCCTCAATTTAACTCTAGCTTGTGTCAAGTTGACCAACACCCCAACCAGGACAATCGACCCATGTCAACTTGATATACAAACACATCATTATTCACCTCTAACTGTTCTTTATTGTTTATCTCTAATGTCTCCCACTAATATTAATATCACAATATAAAACATAAATAACTTTAAAGTACCTCATATGTCCTTATCTCACGCAGGGGAAACTGTTCTAGTTTGAGCTCCGCCCCAAGAACTAAACTCACCCTGGAGGAAAATTCTCATTCCACATTTGCCTTCTGGCAAATAATCCCCACCTCTCTCTCTTTCTCTCTCTATTTCTCTCTCTCTGTCTCTTTTTCTCTGTCTCTGTCTCTGTGTATGTGTGTCAGTATGTGTCTCTGTGAGTGTGTGTGTGTTTGTGTGTCTACGTCTGTGTGTGTGTGTGTGTATGTGCATGTGTGTATATATGTGATCAGGCCAGAGTCAACTGTGGCATGATCCTCAGGTTCTGTCCACCTTGGTCTCTCACTTTGACTGACACTTGCCAATTCAGTTACTCTATCTAGGCAGTAAGTTCCAGGAATCTGCCTGTCTATGCCATTTCAACACTGGGATTACTAGCATTCACTAGGATGTCTGGCTAGATGAGGTGAGTTTTAGATATAAAAAGTAGATTCTTAGGGCTGGAGAGATGGCTCAGAGGTTATGAGCACTAACTGCTCTTCCAAAGGATCAGGGTTCAATTCCCAGCACCCACATGGCAGCTCACTACTGTCTGTAACTCCAGTTCTTGGAGACCAAAACACTCATACAGACATACATGCAGGCAAAACACCAAGGCACATTTAAAAAAAAGTAGATTCAGCCGGGCGGTAGTGGCGCACGCCTTTAATCCCAGCACTCGGGAGGCAGAGGCAGGCGGATCTCTGTGAGTTCGAGGCCAGCCTGGTCTACAGCGCGAGATCCAGGAAAGGCGCAAAGCTACACAGAGAAACCCTGTCTCGAAAAAACCCAAAAAAAAAGAAAAAAAAGAAAAAAAAAGTAGATTCTTCATGGGTTTTAGCCTTGAGCAATCTACTGTCATTATTAAGAAGATGGAAAGAGAAGATTTTTAGTGTAGTTATACTGAATTTATTTTAATTCATTTTAAGTTATCAATAATCATACCACTGTTAATTATTTAAAACTATTTTAGTAGTCTAAAGTTGACCCAAGAATTATATACTCCTGTGAAGGCTCAATGTTGGAAGCCCCCAAACTTACAGAATACTTAATACCCAATCAATTGTTTACTTTCTTAACATTGTTGTCAATATTTTATTTATTTTTTGATTTGGAATTCTGTAAAACTTTAATGCCCCCGTAAGATGCGATATTGTATTCTCAGTAACAGGTGAGGACCGTGCTGTTCTTTTGACATATGTGAGACATGTGATTGGGAAAGAAGTCACATTAAAGCCATCACAGGCACTTGAATTGGAAGGAATGTTCATCCATGCTGAACAGTTAGAACATAGTTATTCTAAATTTTCTGCATCTGCCCATACTTTGCAGTCTTCCAGATCTCACTGTTGTAGATGTTGGTTCTCATAAAAGCATGCTACGCCACTTCTCTGTATTTCATGCCATCCATATACTTACAGTTTTTTTTTATTAAAATGGGGGAGTTGGAGAATTGGATGGGGGAGGACCATTGTTCCCATTCTTTCTGTATCTTTCCTGACCACCCATCTTGGATACAGTGAGATGAAACCATTGAGATCCTGAATATGTTTTCTGGCATTAGACACCACAAGCCAGGAGTAATAACATTGAGGCATAAACATAGATGAGTGCAAATCTGTCTTTATTATTTAAGAAGCAGGATTACTGTGTAATAGGAATTCAGCACAGGGACAATCAATCAAATTTCCTGGGTGGAATCAACATTTCACTATAATAGTCATTTCAAAACTGGACTCTCAGCCTCCTCATTTCCTCAGTTGGCAGCAGCGAGCAACAGTCCAGTCTATGAATAGACACAGGCAGTGGCAAATGTTTTCATTCTGTATGTTCCATGATCCACAAGCAAAGCCACAAGAACATCCAGTAGCAATCATCCCTGCATGGTTGTGTGAGACAAAGACATCAGAGACCTTGGACCAAAAGAGATGGAGAGTCCCTAACTGTTCTCCCTAGGAAGATCATAAATATAGCTACATTTTGTGGGACATAAAACTAAATCAGTTTTGAGAGTTTTCTTCAAGAAAAAACTCATTTAAATGAAAAGATTTGTAGTTTCACTGTCTTTCAATTGATGGCAAATTCACCTGTGTGCTGGCTCCTCTTCTACCACTACAATGGAATAGAATGGGAAAACAAAGAGGGCCATATCAATGACCACACAGTTTATGTCCAGGTAGACTGTCATATGTGGGCATGAGGAAAATGTGACAAGACAAACAAATAGCATCCTGAAAGACTGAAAATCTGAAAGTGATGTCTAATCTCCTGGAAATACACCTCATCTCCATGGAAATAGAAACCTGAGTTAGGAGAAGGTTGTATTAGGGAATTGATGGGGTGGACACAGGGACACCTTATTCACAAATTTTCCTTGAGAAGTTACTCACCAGCAGGACAGGAGGCTAGTCTGCCTACAGCTTTCACACTAGTGCAAGAGGGAGTCCTATTCACAGTCGAGGGAAGGTATCCTGAGTAAGAGGAAAAATGTGATAGTGCCCATTATCTTTGCACATGATTTTTTAAAAATTTCTATTCCAGTTGGGGGTATCACTGTTTCCAAAAGTAGTCCTCTCACTAACTTTTAGATTTAGTTTCTTCATTTGTGAAGAGAAAAAAATAGAAAGTAAACAATACTTACTTCATAATGTGGCTATGAAAAATACACAAACTCACTAAAAGCTTAATATTACACCTGTTTCATAATGTGTTCATAAATACAGGACCTATGCTTGTTTTCTCCATCATCATCAGGAACATTGAATTCTTATCTGAGAGTACAAAAGGGTAGTCTATTGAGTAGAGCCCTAGTTAGGGAGGCAGGGATGAAGTGGACTGAACAGAGGTGGAGATCTTAGTGTGAGGGACAAGGGGTTTTTGGTTTATCAACAGACAGCATGAGCAAAAATTAGGCTATTGTTTCTCCTACTCATTTTATACCTCCATAGCTGAGAGCTTCCTTGAGCTTCTTTATGATGGAGTCTAAGGTCTCCTCAGTGTTCACTGGGATCACCAGCTGGAGAAGTGAGATGATGATGAGGAGAGAGCAGGTTGTAGTCTTCATCCTGTTGAAACTCAATGTCCTGGGTCTGGAAGAGAAAAACAAAGAAGATGAGATCCCTGAGGTCAAGCATGACTGTGAGAGAAAGGAAATATTCTGGAGAGAGAAGGGAGGAAGCAACAGAAGTAAGCAGACTGTAACTGTTTTAGCCATTTGGAGAAGCACAGAAGGTTCCCAAGAGCTGACTCACCAGAAGCTCAGGAGTAGTTCCAGGGCCTGACCAGATGAGATGCTTAAAGAGACTGTGGGATAGTTGACCAGGACACCCATAATATGTACAAGCACACTCTAGTGACATGAATGCTTTCCATACATCTTAACAGTCTAGGTGTCTTGTATGACAAATTCATATGAATTAAGACACTTGGCTAAAGTAGAAGAGGTGGGGTTCATGTCTGAGGAAGTCAACCTTCATAGCTTGTCTGAATTAGCTGAAAGTTACAAGACTCATATCCTTCCCCAATGTTATAGGAGAAGCAATCAGCTGTTAACTCTGCCAAGTTGAACTACTAAGGGAAGACTCTTGGTCCCATGGAGGTACCTGGAAAATTTGCAGAAAGTTCTAAAGATGCAGTATCAGGAAATTGTAAAACATTCTGGGGTGAGCATTTCAGTAATGAAGCTGCATTCATATTGTCCCAACTCCTGAAATTAACACACATACACACACACACACACACACACACACACACACACACACACACACATACACACACACACAAAGGAGAGAGAGAGAGAGAGAGAGAGAGAGAGAGAGAGAGAGAGAGAGAGAGAGACAAACAGATAATGTGTTCTGAATCCTAAAAAAAAAGTCTCACACAGCACACTTGGTACAAGAATAGAACCAAAACAGAACTAAAGCAGTTAGGACAGAGTAGCTTCATGTCTCTACAATGGATGCTGAGACTTTTCCCACATGGTGTAAGCATACCTCTTAATGTTGTGAGACTCCAGAGCAAAACCACCACAAAGCCAATATCCAATGCAAACACACAAGCACAGGGTTTTATTGATTACAAACCCAGGCTTGTTCCTTATTCCAGCACTCTGACAAGGCAGAAGGAGGAGGAGGACAGCCCTGAGCTCTCAGAGTGAAGGGTTTTTAAAGGGAAAAACCACAGGCAGGGTGGTACAAGCCTTTGGGTCATAGGCTTGGGTGAGGATATGTAAACTTTGAATCCAAAGGTTGGGGTTCAGAGGAATTTTTCAACAACAGGAGTTATCAGAAGGATATTTGGAGACTGCTGACATTGTCCAAGGACATTTGAGTCCAACAAATGTTGTTTATCTAAATTACTCATTGGCCATCCCATCCTGGTGGGGTACCTTGACCTGGGCCCTAGCTGTTTGTGATTTTTCTTGGAGCTGTTTGAGGTTTTTTACTGGAAGTAAGTTCAGCTCCTGGCCAAGTGCTGTTTGAAATGAAATTTTCTTTAAAATAGAGTTTGTCTTGCTCTCACAATGTGTTTGAGGAATCTCAGTGGACCCTCCAAAATGTTGTACCAAGAGTCTCCCAAAGACCTTCAAGAGACCAAATCCAATGCAAAAGCAAAGAGTCTTTTTACTGTTGAGAGTTACCCCAGTCCTCTCCATCAGTCAGATGCAGCAGCAGATCAGGAGAGACTCCAAGTAGCAAAAGGGCAGGATATTTATAGGGAGTAAAGCAAGGGGTTGTCTTGGGGTCTACAGACTACACAGGAACAGACCCAGGATTGGTTTTTGCAAGTGGCAATCATGTATGTAACTTTTAATTAGGTAGGCTTAGTTGGGGGTTACAGTTATCCATTTTTTGGCAGGCCTGGAAAGTCCTAGGCCCTGTCCTTGAGCTGCTATTGAGGCTGGTTGGCCTAGCTCATACAGACTATGGGGCTGGCTCAGTGGCCCAGGCTTGGAGTGTCCTATCTCCCTGTCCCTGCTGGTAGGGACATCAGTGATTAATTGTCTTTTGTTCATGGCCCTCTCAGAAACTGCTTTCTCAGTCTCAGGAAGCTGAAATTGAGGCCTGATCTCTGAGAGAAGACTGAGCAGCCTGTTATGGTCCTATCATTACCCCATTGACTAGTGTATTATTTCCAATCTTGGAGATGTTTCTTTTTGGTAAAAGACTTTATCATCAGGGTAGTAGATTATTTTGGTGACTAATTGGACCAGGATGTAACAGGTTTTTTGTTGGTTTGCTTTGATCTAAAATTTGAACATTAATATAGGGGGTCAAGCCACAAGTCTATTTCCATCAGGTATCCTCCAGTGGGATCAGGGAGCTAGCTCCCATGGATTCTGAGTGAGATTACAGACGTTCGTATGTAGAGGTTGTTTCAAACAGAGACCATTTCTCATTATCAACTGCAAAGTGAGCCTCCTCTTATTAGGTTGTTGCCATCTGTAAGTGTATCATTGCTTTGGTCCAGGGGCTGATATTGGGATTCTAGCAACATCAGTTTAATGGTAGCCAGACAAGAATCATCATTTAGTTAAGGCATCCATGACATAAGAGCCAACAACAATTAGTAGAAGCAGAAGGGCCAAAAGCCCTGTGATGGCTCACAGAGTTTCTTATCCTGAAGGAACTTGGAAGTGAGGATGGGGACCAGTTACTATTTTATCTCAGGTTTCCTGTGACAAGAAATTCCTTTTTGTTCTAATATTCCAGGGGCGGGGAAACAAGGGCGACATTTTTGCTTCTGTAATTATTTTCTGTTGATGTTGGGACATTGTTGTCAGTACCCTAAAGGCCAGAATATTAGTCAAAGGCAAGGAGGGAATTTAGAAGCATTTGGTTCATTGACCAGCTGAAGAGATGGCATTTATATCTGGTGGATTGTTCCATAACAGCCTTTAGCAAATCAGGGGCTCGCAGTCATTTGGAGTAGGTTGTCTCTAGCAAATGGTGCTTAGATGTGTCTGTCAGCCAAGTGGAAACCTGTTGAGACAGATATGAACTAGGAACAGGAGTTAAAATTTATGAACTTATTTGGAGCTTTCAGATCCATAGTCTCAGTAATTGAGGAAGGGGAGGATCCCCAAGTTCAGGAGATGGAACAATACCATCCTCAGGAATAGACAGGTGAGGAAATTTAGGCTGTATTTATCTGGGATCCTTTTGACCTGTGAGAAATAAATCCAAGTTTTATGCCTTTCCTGATTGTTTTTGAAGTTTATGTGAATTTCTATTTCATGAAAAGTCATAAAAGTTCCAGATAGATTAGCATTCTCAATCTGTATTGAAATCCATGTTGTAGAAAAAGCAGGTAACAGGTATCTGTAAAACAACAAGAGTAGACTCATACCATTGAGTCCTAGCAAAAGCTATAGATTTGGGTTTTAAAAAATGTAATTTATTTTTTCTGTCTCAAGAACCAAGTATAAATTGGACTGAAATGTCTTTGGCCTGATGAAAAGCATCTGTAAGTCTATACTCAGTAGATAACCAAAAGAAATCTAAAATCTTGAGCTCATAACCCAAATAGTAAGCAGTTATTGCTCTATTAGCTTGTCAGAATTCTATTATGTTAAATTCTGAATTTTTGAAGTTTCAATGCAACGATAGTATGGCGAAGGAAAGAAATTTCACAATATCTTTTATATATTTTTCTCGGATCTTTATACCTTTTAGACCCTTACACTTTATTAATTACTGGAAATATAAGCAGTTATTATTCAAGAACAGTCATTTCAAATTGCGTTTGAAACCCATTTATCCCTTATTATGAAGCTTGTGAGTAAGGCAAACCTGTTTGTCTCTTCTTTTTTTCAGGAGACCTAGTAGCATTAATTAATTAATGCACTGATCAATGAACTAATAAGGTGGCTGCAACCTTGTGGAAGACTCTGATTGTCTGATGGTGCTAAGCTGACAAAGCTATATCTAGCCCAGTCATCAGTGCCATCAAAGATCTGAGAAGGATAAATTTTATCTGAGTGCAGACTTCCAAATATTAAAAAAAAAAAAAGACAGAGACTATCCATTACCCAGACTGCCATCATCCCAGGCTCCTGTAGTCTTCATAGCATTGGCAGGACAGGTGTCAGGATAGCATCAGTTTTCAGCTGCAGGCCCATAAGGTAAAAGTTCTCAAATGGAGGAAGTCCCTGGGGAAGACTGATCTTATTTTGTCAGTGTCTCATTTATCCAGTCTGGGCCAGATTCCTGGCAGCAGGTGTTGAGTCGGGGCATCTTGCCCAGTGGTCAGTGTTGTCAACAATTCAGGGGGCTTTATCTTGTTATTCCATATCTTCTTTGGAGGCCTTGGGAGTCATTGCTAGGATCTGAGAGTCTCTGTTTGTATATAGTAAGCTTTTTATCAAATAATATAAATGCCATATTCATCAGATCTTTGATGGGTTTGAGGACCATTATCTATTCAATATATCTGAGCTAAATAAATCTTGAAAGCATCTCTAAGTTTGGTAACAGTAACCAGGCTAATTTGTTATCCTATAGATACATTAGTCAAATGGATCTCTAGGTTCTGTTTTTTTCTTGTAAGTATATTTTATAAGCATTTTTCATATGTATATATGTATATATCTATATCTATAAGCAGTTAGATTGCAGTTTTCTTTAGAGACCGTAGATGGGATATTGACAGTTTTAAGAAAGAGGTTTGGATTTCTCTATGGAACTCTGAATACCTAAGAGCTTTAGCCTTGTCATTTCATAGGCGACCTAACATATAGAATCCCTCAACCCAGAGGCCTGTAATATGATGATGAATTATTAACCTGTAGTTTGGACCTTGGTCCTCCTCTCTCCTTTAAAGAGCATGATTTCATTTTTAATATAAATATTTTGCAGTGAAGAATCATCAGTTTTTTTCTAAATGAAGAAAACTAATCTGAATTAACCCAACATGGTTAAATTCCCAATATATTTTATAGTTTTTTTTTAAATTCAGCATAGTTTATATCCCTTCTGGCCTTTTATAATTTTCCATGTATCTTTAGGTCAGGCCTTTTGCTATTCTAGTACAGCCAGACGTAGAAAATTTTCTTTTTCCCCTTTCCTTTTATTTTTTCAGTCTTATGCCTTCTCTTGCTTTTCAGATGACATACCAATTCTCATCAAAGTCCTTTCCTGTGGTTTCTAGCCCAGCAGTTTAGAATATTGTATAGGTATAACATTTCAAATAAGAATAGAAATATATATGCATATATCATAATAAAACATATTTGCATTAGTATATAAAAACCTGTATAATATGAAACATTTTATATTAGCATAAGTTTTTTATCCTAATCAATAGTAATTTGTAACCAATTTTCTTGAATGATGACTAGTATTTGTAACCCATTGAATTCAAATGACCAAAATCCATGTATTTTTTTTCTGTTTCCTATGGAAATAAAAGCATAATGTTATAATGTATCTTTGACTTTTATTTTAAAGTCAGAGCTTTTCAAAGTATGCAGGCTGGTAATTTAATATTTGTTTCAAGCAGTATCAGGACAGAGAAGGTTTAAGATGGGAAGCTGCTGACCAGCAGAGGAGACCTTGACTTTATCATAGTAAAAAAGAACTTGGCCTAGGAGGAAAGGGAGGGGGAGCAGTAGGCATAGAGTATGTCTTTGACTTCCAGTGTTCCTGAAAAAAATTGTTACCTCCTCTCACTATAATAATTAACAATTAATCCCAGAGTCTCTGTTTGGTGTTCAAGCAGCTTGTCAATTGTAGGCAGTCAACTCCTTGCTGCCCACCTGCACTGAGAGTGCGCACCCTCACCCCCTGTGAGAGCCACTGACTGGCTGCAGGCCTTTCCTGCAAGCCAAGACCAGCCCCAACCTGTGCTGCAGGCCTGATAGCAAGAGAGCTACAGAGGGAAGTGACCATGCTATGCCTCTCTGTCCTTCTCTTCCAGGCAAACGAGGGAGGTTAGGAGACAGAAAGAAGTAACAAAACTTAGACATAAGTACCATTACACTAGCACTGAGTACACGTCCTCACTCTCAGTTAGTGAGCCCTATCTAACAGATGGCTTCTCTTGCAGTACCCAAGCCCAACCTGGCAGGAGCTACCTGCTTAACTCAGTTCAGTCAGGGGGACCTAGTCCCCTTAAACATATGGAACAGCACAGTAACATAGT